CTCTACGGAGATTCATCGCCAATGGTATAGTCTCTCTTTCATGTTGAGAATTATTTCCCGTTTGACACGCTTCTCATTTAGTGGACATAATCATCACTTTGGACTTAATGGAATTAAAGAATGGTAAGGACTAATGAATTTGGCTTAAGATGAACCAAGCCATATAAAGAAAATGAAGTATCTTGCTTTGGTTCGACTGAACGTTATGCCGAGTCCATTATGTCAAGGGTTGTCTTACATCAATTCATGATGTTTTGATGAATCTTGAAGCGCCTTTACCTTCCTCTTTGAGTTCACTCTATGATAAGAGGGAGGGGTGGTTATAGTCCCTTTCATTTATTGATTTTTGTCCAAATTGTACATCGAAATCATCAAGCAATCAGTTTGCTCATTGATGGATTTGGAAACAAGTCTACCATTCTCTTAAGGATTTTCCATGACAGAGAAGTGTGAGAGGGACAAACAGAGTTCAAAGCACTCTATTTGCACTGTTTTCACTTTAGAGCAGAAAATGAAATTTCGCATGAAATTGAGGCACGATCAACCTTCTATAGGCCCGGCCAGGTGTCATTAAGGGCTGGCCGGGTATCAATGTTTGGTAAGGCAGTGTGTTGTGCAGAGCAGAGGGCAGTGGCTAAAGGTGAAACAGAATAGTCCGGGCAGATAGAGCAGTTTCTGGACGCTGCGCATACGAGCATTGTGCATCCGTGGATAGCTAGTTAATTAATTATAGCTTACTTATTCATTCATTTGGATTTGTAATAAGTAGTTCATTCAAACCCTCTTGCGTGAAGATAAATGTTGTAATAATGTGTATGTCTTCCAACCCTACGTCTTTCTCCCTTTTATTTACTAGCTTACGATGGTTAGTTTAGGGCATCACGTTTCGTTTAGCATACTTCATGTTTGCATCCACTTGTATTGCATACATCGAGGCTCGGTTCATCATCCTAACTTGCATTGTTATTGCTTATACTTCTTTGAATACATGCTTAGACCGCATGCTATCAAATTGATCCATATGCCAAATTAGTAGCCGAGCCTAGTAATTGCATATCGCATTAGTCATGTTGCATAAGAATCATGCATTTTTCTAACTAGCTTCTCTTTTGGTTTGGAGTACGAGGTAAGCTTTTATCTGCTTTAGCATGTTACATGAGTGTGATCATTGCCATGTCAAGCATGCTTGCCATGAGGTTAAATACTTAATTGATAAACTACTTGAATGCCTGTGGATGAAGGCTATTTGCTTGAATTGGAATAATTTGAGTAATGTTCATATGTAATCACTTTTTCAAGTGGTACATATTCGAAACAATTTTCAAAATAAACACGAAACAAGTATTCCAATATTTGCAAAATTAGTCTATACTTGTATGCATCACATAGTAAAGTTAGTCTAATAACCGGAACAAGAGCATATAATGTAAATAAGAGTCACATCAAGATTAGTAGAGGCCGATCTTTGATCGACCGAGTGGGGTGCGCAATTCATGACATTCCCCTCTCATACCTAAGTTCCCGACTTGAGACACTTTGGTGATGACGGACTAATGGCCTTTGGCACAAGTCTTGAGTTTCCTAAATTTCCCAAAACAAAATATGTTGGTGCCAACTCTGAAATCTGGCAAAGCAGTCCATTTGTGGCATTTCATTCAAAACATCAATTTTCCAAAACAGAATTGCCAGATTTGGACTCTTTTAAGTTTTCACTGTTTCACATTGCACTTGTGAAATCAGATTCAGAACGACGAGAGTCCGATATTGTAGGACCTATTCGTCTTCCGAAAAGGGGCACGAAAAAGTCGAGCTACAATAAGTCTGCCAAGAGTTGAGGTTGAAACAGTAAGACAACATAGAAAAATCAAAATCGAAGTTTTACTTCAAATGACAAAAAACTAGATGGAGCAGATAGCGTTGATCAAATAACCAAGCATGTCAAGAACAATAAAGTATCAAAAGCAATCACAAGTTAACAACATTATACAAGAAATGAACTTAGTCAAGGGCAAAGACAATGAATCAAAAAACAATATCTACCCTAATCCACTACTGAAAAATATTGAAAGATCGATTAACACATACTATTCTCACATAAACTACCTGAACATGATTTGTTTAACCCATAGAACGAAAAGTCCTTCCCTTTTAGGCCACTTGGCCAAGGAGGAATTTGAGCCCTTCATGCCATGGTCATAACCATATGCTCTCAACTAGTGGTCTACAAGCTCAGCCCAGTTACCTTTCCTTTCCCAGGCCATTTTAGATAAAATACATCTCTAAGAAAAAAATTCCAAATTAATCTGAGTCTAGAATATAACATTCAATCTAACTAGCAGGCTAAACTAAAGAGCCTGATGGTAGAAAATAACATTCAATTCTATTTTTAAGTAAAGAATTTAAAAAAAGATACTTTCAACCATAATATCATTCAAAAAGTTAGATATCACTTACAAATCCACTGTGACCAGACAAGGAATGTACCAAGCTACCATTACTAGCATTCCAAACACAAATTCTGCAATCTGCATTTAAAAAGGCACTAACAAACAATTCATAAGGGAGAAACAACAGAAGATTTTGCCCTTCGACAAAATCCATAATACAAGGTTAAAAACTGCAAAGAGTAATTAGAAATCAACCTCTAGGTAACCATCATCTACACTAGCAGAGAGCCATGTGCTATCTATGCATATCAAATTCGATATTCGAATAATAGTGATCCATATTATGAGAAGCAGCAATGGTTTCACATACCATGAAAAAAATGTTTTGAAATAGATAGGAAGCATGAATAAATAAGCATTATTCAAGCACATAGATTATCAAACTGAAATCGTTGCTAAGAAAATTCAAAAAAAATAATAAATTGAAACTTGTTAAGAAAATAAGTCACGGGACAAAAAATTAGCAAGTCAAAAACTATGTCATGAAAAACTATCAATACGGAGTAGCCCGAAAAAGTTTTATAGCTTCCAAAATCTGGGAGGGTTATTAAGGATCAAACCATTGACAAACTTATGGTTTAAATTTTTTATAATAAAAATAAAATTAATGTGTACACATCTATGCCAAAGGTTAGGTGTGTACCCAATTTTTTCCCTCCTAAACACACATTAATGTGTACCAATTGGGCATTTTTTAAAAAAAAAAAAAAAAAAAAACATTACATGCTTCTCTCTTTTTCTTTATTGTTTAATTTTTGTGTTGATCATCATTAACGGCTATCCTGTAGTGTATCCTTTTTAGGCCACTATGGCAAAAACAAAGGGGGTACCAATCGTTTCACTTAATATTCAAGGAAGCAACATGTGACTACATAGACAACCAATTTCAGATGAGCTGAATAGTTGTACAAAATTTCCTTGTTATCCTAATTTTATGCAATAGGGATAGGTTTAAGTTACATGGCATATTTGGTCCCATTCTTGAATCCTAACACACACATACTTCAACATAAAGAAGGATACACAATTAGAGCTATTAAAGTTCTCTCAATAGGAGAAGACTATAAGACAGGCCAGATAGATAAATATTAAGCAAAGCAACCACTAATGGTAACAAAGAGCAAGGTTACAATTGTATAAAGCAGGTTAAAAGTTATATTATGTACATATATCAAGTAAATACTTTATTACCCATCAAATGAAGAAAAAATTATTCATAGTAAGTGGATTGCCCATGATGGCAGCAAGCACAAAGCGATTATCCAAACTCCACACAATCATATTAACACCCCGAGGAGTTAGAAGAAACCTCTGACATAGGTCCCCTCGAAGAGGCTGAGGTGGCATAGGGGGAGGAGGAACTTTGAGATGATAAGCTCGTGTCCAACGTACAGTTTTTTCCTAAAATGATTGAATGATTATGACAGAAAAGGAAACCAAAGCTATAATGATATGTTTATAAATTCATTCCATGGATATTGAACTTCACTGCAATCAGCTAGTACAACATCTAGGAAACAAATTTTTTAACAAAAACAGAATGCGTTTCCACAAACATACAACATAGTGCCCAAAACGGTAAACACTCCAAAAAGAACTCACATGAGATTTGCGTGACCTTGGAACCCAAATAATCGTGCTGCCATTACGTGAGCATGTAACTATGTTATCGTGATTAAACCTGTGAATATTATTCAAGCAACAAGAGTTGGATACGGTCAATAAGTGAAAGAGGGTATACAGACAATTGAGCCTGCCTTGCCCTTTTTTTATTCTTCTTCTTTTGGTAAGTTAAAATCAGGAAACAATATAATACACAGATTAGGAAGGAAGATGTCTACGAATCAAGAATTTTTAAATTTTTGTTTGTTATCCTCAGTGAAGGAATCAAGCGATGAAGATCTTGGAGCCACAACATAGCCACTGCATATAAAAGGCACTAAAGATGATAAGAAATTTTGTCAAGAGACATTTGATTTATTCACTAGTACTGACTAATCAGAACTGCACATAATTAACATCATTCCGATGGCCAACCAATAAATCAATTTCATGGTTTGGTTGCTCCGAGTCATTTGTGTTGAACTTACAAGCACCCCAAACCTGCAAGCAGCTAGTTCTTAAGTGAGGTTTTATTACTTGCCTAACACCTTGGTATATTAAGTGATTAAGATTAGAGTTGTGTGAACATTCTTTCCAAGATGAAATTCACCCTTTGTGTAAAAGCACAGTAAACATCCTTTTGAGTTAGCTATTTCAATTTGTTTAGTCGCTTTGAACACAAGCCTGGCCTTTTATAATTTGTTCATTAGAATGCAAGTGGTAAATATTTTGTGTTCCCTCAATAATTTATATGCTTAGTTAAATTAAATATATTCATATAATTTTTCACTACGAAGAAAAAGTTGTGGAAGAAGATTTGTGAATGAACAATTATAGCCAAAACCAGACCTGGGTAGGTAACTAGAGAGGGCTTGGAGACTTCAGTTGGTTGTCTAAAAAAGGCATGATGAGTGTAGAACCAGAACCTTGGGAACTATATTCAACCCTCTCATAGGAGCCAACATCGTCATATGTGAAGACACAACCCTTACCTGTAGTATTTCAAAGAAATATGTAATGTTAATATGAAATAAAAGGATAAGAACTGCACCAAAAAATTCGCACTTTTTACCTTCCTTATCGAGGCCACCGAGAACATTGAAAGCATAATAAGGAAAGAAGCGCTTGTAGTAAAGGGTGTTCGAGAGCAGTTGACCCATTGCAGGACAGCTCATCTACTTGTTGTGTTGATGCTGATAGATCTGTGTCCCAAGAAAAAGAAAAATGATACATTGCTTCCAGCACATCTTTCATTTCCTTAAACCTCAAGCAACAAACCATAACTCAGAATCAGGGAAAACAAATTCAATCCATCCTTAGTAATATCTCCAACAAATGGGTCTCACCAAATTTAACATTTTATTTTCATTGAGTAATTTAGCATACTTCATATTATTTATTTTTATAAGAAAAGTGAAAATAGAATTACTAGAGTTAAAAAATTTCAATCCTCACCAAGTGCCTAGCTGCCAAAACCTTTTGAAGAGCTCTCACATCAGCCTGAAAATCGGAGGATGCCATCATACATTTGTCTGCCCTACAAGGTCAACAAAAACAAAATTCAGATACATGGCCTTGGCATATAAGAAACTTGTGCACTGCTCGATGCTCGCCATTGCTCGACGTCGTTGCCTGCCGCTGCTCGATGTCATCTCACGTTGTCGCTGCCGTCGCTCGACGCCGTTGTTTACCATTGCTCGTTGTCCCTCAACGCCGTCGTCTGCCCTGCTTACAGTCGCAAGAGAGAGAGAGAGAGAGAGAGAGAGAGAGGGAGATAGGAATTTTTGGTTCAAAAGACTAGGGATTTGAGATTTGGGGATTTTTGGTTGAGGGGGGAAAAACGAGCGCGAATTAGATTTTGTTTTGTTTTGTTTTGTTCTGGTTTTGGTTTTTTTTTTTTTTTTTTTTTTTTTTTTTTTGCGACGTCAAGTATAACCGTCACAAATGAAAATTTAAGGTAACATTTGATAATGTTTACATTTTTAGTTTATGTTTACAAAAATTTTATAAATTTATTTTTGTTTATTTTTAGAAAAACATAAATTACAAACGCGTTTGGTTTCAACAAAATGTTTAAAAAATTTTAAAAACATAAACTAAAAAACATGTTTGTCCAGGCCTAAAATATTTATATTTATTTTTTTATTATTTATGACAATGGGATCATACACATTATAGTTGAAAAAAAAATATTTGAAAAAAAAATAAATTAAAAAAAATTGTTAGTCAAATTTTTAAATTTTTGTTTAAAAACCAACGTAAACTCATTTTTTGAGTTTACAATGTTTTCTCAAATTTATAAACTGAGACAACCATTTATAAACCAAAAAAAATTATCAAACAATTTTTTATGACAGATGAACGAGAGATAGCGAGAGAGAGACATTAAAAAAAAAAGAGAAGAGCGATGAGCAAGAGAGACAGAGAGAGATGAGAGAGATAGAGAAGAGAGATAAGTGAGAAAGATAGAGAGAAAGAGATAGAGAAAGAGACCCATTTATAAACCAAAAAAAAAAGACATCAATAAATCAAGAGGGAGATCGGTAAATCAAGAAGAGGGGAGGGAGAGAGTGAGAAATGCGAGCACAGCATGAGAGAAAGAGAGAAAGACACAGACAGATAGACAAAGAGTGATAAGTGAGAGAGAGAAAGAGAAAGAGAAGAGAGATGAGCGAAAGAGAGAGAGAGAGAGACAGGAAGATGAAAAAATAGGTGAAACACTACAAAAATTTCAGTTTTTTGCGATGCTAATACTTGTAATGCCATCTCATTAAAACAGTCTCGCTTTTTCTCTCTTCTTTTTTTTTTTTTTTTTGGTGAACGACACCTATTACCATCGCAAAAAACTTTCTTATTTGTGACTGCAGTTCATGTTGTCGCAAAAAACAGCTTTATTTGTGACAACATAGGTTACCGTTGCAAAAATGCGCATTTGCGACGGCGGTTGTTCCCGTTGCAAAAAGTTGTTTTTTTTTGTAACAGGAAGGGGTGTCGTCGCTAAAAACCCATTTATTGGCGACAGCAAGTGGTGCCATCCAAAAAAATCACTTTTTGCTACAGTCAGTGATGCCGTCGCAAATGCTTCCGTGTTATAAAGCTCATTTTCTTGTAGTGTGGGTATCATAAAATTAATACGCAATTTTTAATTTTGGGTGGACCAGTTTGGTCAAGTGACTCACTTGGCTCATGACCGTACCTGACTTCTTTTTTTATTTCATAATAATTTATAAGAACAACTTGTTAATATTGCAAAATAAATAAATAATAAGCATATCCAAGTTCCATTACCCAAAAAATTAATTTCAAGCATACTAGAGTTACGCTATAATTTTAACTCAAGCTACTTACTTGGCTCATATTAAAATAAAAATTACGATTATTGCATATCCAAGTTCCATATCCTGAAAAATTAATTTCAAGCATATTAAAGTTACCTTACAATTTTAACTCAAACTACTTACTTGGCTCATATTAAAATAAAAATTACGATTATTGGATCGAGTTAATTTTTTTATGAATAATATATTATATACGGATGACCTACAAAAACAAATTATTTAGATTATCAAAAAGGGTTTGTGGTGAATCTCACGGACCCTAAAATTCCCTCAAGTGAAGATTTAAACTCGAGAGAAACCCAACCCAATAAAAATCAAATGATAGTATGGCTAAACTAATTTTTTATATTGAATTTGAAGAAAATTAAATATTTTAAATTGTACACTACAGAGAATTTAAAGTAGTGAAATATTATAGTAAAATTAGTATTATTTAAAAAGAATAAAAAATTATTAATTTTTTTGGAGTTATCTTTCTTCAATTCCTACAGTTTCATGAAAATATAGGAAAACAATATGCAATGATTTAGTGGTAAAATTTGGGGTATCATGAAAATGATAACATATTAATTTTTTGACATATGTATAATTTTTAAAACATAATTATTATTATTATTTTTTTGTATAGGTATTTTTTTAAATATTGCCTTTTATATTGAAGAATCAACATAATATGTACTTTTACATTTTAGAAACATAAAGAATTTGTGTTCGTCTCGGTATAAAATGTTTTGAAATAGGCATGATTAGAAGGAAAAAAATATTACCATATTGATAAGAAATCAATACTTTAATTCCATGTATCTTTTTATAGTTTACAAATTCAATAATTTGAAAAATTTGTATTGAGACTTTCAACCTCAAATGCCCAACAACGTTTTTCCTTATATTAAAATTTTCTATTCTAATAAATCCTATTATTTTGTAAATTTGAACTACCAAATCTTAATTTCCATATTTGAGATCTTTTATGGTCAGTTTTACCATTCTAAATATTTTTTGAATCTTTAGCAACCTGATATGTGCTTATGATGTGCACTAATTTGAACTATTTTTGACTTTTTGTATATTAAACTTTGAAAATTCCTAATTTTTGTTGTACATATTTTTTATTGTAAAATGTATATTTTAAAGCCTATTTAAAAAGATATCTCAAATAAGATCTCATTTGAATATGAATCACGTAAAATAAGAACAAATAAATTTGACAATATGAATATTCACACTGAAATTATAATTATTAATGTGAGATGATTTTCCACATTTAATTTTGTATTTTTTTAGATTCAATTTTGATATTACAAGTCTACATTCTCTTAATTGTCATTATGAATGTTAATATACCCCACATTCAAAATGCCACCCACATTCATAATATGATGTTTACCTTGTCATCTAAAAATATGAATGTTCAAAATACCATGACGAGAAAAATATTCACGGATTCCATGATGTGAAAATTTACAAAATCATAAATAAAATACAATGATGATATTCACATGGCCATGGTGAGAAAAATGTCAACAGATTCCATGATGTGAACATGTGCAAAAATCATAATGTATAATATGAATATTTAAAAATTAATGATTAACACAATGAGAACATGCAAAAAAAAAAAAAAAAAATGTAATCAAAAGCCAAATATCATACGATGTGAAGATCAACAACTTAAAATATTGTAGAAAGACACAGATATTGTGTGTTTCACATTGCTACACATTCACATTTCATCAAAATTTCACCTATGGTATTTGATATTTTCACAATCGAAATTGAGGATCTCAAAATAAAAACCATATAACCATTCACAATATGATATTTTAAGTCATTACAAATTTGACAACTAGGGTTTTAACAGAAAAAAAAAAATACGAATTGACTATGTTTGGTACCCATTTCCAACTATGTAGAATGACCGGCAAGGTTAATGTGAACGATCACAGCAAGAAAGTGTTTTGGTCACCGAGGACGAAACATCAGAGACAAAGTGACACAAAGATGGTTGTAGAAGATGGATGACTATTTTCAGTGATATTAGTCCACCGACAAAGTCAAATTCAAATATTAGCAAAGATTTGAAAATTTGGGAGGTAACTTTCCTATTATGAATAGAGTCTTTGAATCGACTAAGGCGGACCTCACACTCCTATTCAAATAAGGGTGTATTGGTAAGTATGTCATTTATGAGACATATTGAAATATAAGAAAATGATTTGGACTTATTAGACTACTAGTAGAAAAAGAATTTATGAAAAAATGCCTCAATTTAAAATCAAATTAATATAAAAAATAAAATAAAAATGAAAGGTCGGGGACTCTTACAAGAGACCAAAGAGAGAGTTGTGAGAACAATCTAGTAATTCAATGCTATAGATTTCATGTATTTTGATGTAGTGTTATTATTTACTCTTACATTTTTTCTTAGGACGCCATCTCTTTCATTTTTCTTTTTCATTCTAATTTTGTCCAAACATAAAATTCTATTTTTACCCTTACTCCTAAACTTCTAACCCCCCTTTCCCAAACCCTAACCCTAATCCCACTGGTCATCCCCATCACCTCCGGCAGCCGCTGCTCACTCTTCTTGTCACCCTCAACATCGGCCATCCACCTTCCTCGTCACCTTTAATGCTGACTGCCACTGCCTATTGTGGCATCCCTATTCGCAAACTCGTCACTCTCCACCTTGGACGCCGTTCCAATTTATCTCCACTCCTACATATGTCCTCCCACAAGCCTCTTAGCACACCACCTTACAACTTTCTTCTTTGGAAAACCCTAGTCGTCACTGCTTTTTTTCGATCATAAACCCTAACTGCTACTACTTTTGTGATTGTGGGAGAGAGAGGCAGAAAACGACCCACAATTGCAACGCAAGATAAAGAGAGAGCGATGAGGTTGGGTATGGATGGGGATGGGGTTGGATGGTGACGGTAGTGGTTGGGAGTGGGATGAGGGTGGTGATGTGATGGAGAAGGAATAGATAGAGGTTGAGAAAGGGGCTAGAATTACTCGCCGAAGCATGGCGATTGGAGCTGTGGTGGGTGGAGTAGTGGGGTCGCTAGTAGAGATGGAGTTTGCAACATGGAGGTTGTCGGAAGGAAGATCACCAATGTTGAATTGCTGCTGGTGAAGGGAGGAGATGGGGGTTCAAAGAAGAGAGGTATAATTGGGATTAAGGTAAAGGTTCAAAGAGAAAATA